AGTCCATTGTCCCCGCCGGCCAGTTGTCTGACAGGGCTGAGAGGGCTAGAGAGTCCGGCTGCGCGTGCCAAACTGGCGTTGCCGCACAACACACCAGGATTTTACGCAAAGAGGGTGGGCGGCTTGGATCTCATTTTCAGGAATATGCCATAAAGGCCACAGTAAGATGAATCATTGCAGCCTGACTTTCTGTCCACCCACCAGGCAGCGCCTACACAAAAACGCACAATGGGCTGACCGCAGGGTCTGAGCAAAATGAAATTTTAACAACCCTCGGTGTTCCCAGTCGGCCATGCATGCTACTTCTAATGAAGCCCAACGTAGTTTAACTGCAGTGATTGGATGAGAACCGGTTCTTCCTGCGTGACATGTTCACTGGATCAGCGAGATTGGCGACCCTAAAAACACAACCCTCGAGATGTAAGATTCTACCGTAATGGGGTCTTGCCAGATAGGTGGGTTGGACGAAGAGGTTTCGCAGAATATTGCCCTGGTTCACCAGATTTCACATATGTATAGTTTTTGCTTGTGACGCCTAAAAGCCAGGCACTTCGCTACAAAACCAATAACAGTCGCCGAATTGGACGTAGGTAGTAATTAGGAATGTACTCAAGTACTAAACGCAATTTTTATTAGTGGCTATGATCAGCGGTATCTGGACCAGAACGGATAGGATTTTGAGATAGATAGAACAGTTAAGACGGTGTCTGTGGATTGTATTCTGCTTTGAATACGAGATATGTTTAATAAAAACTAGTTTATAGTTATTCAAAATGTGAGTGCCTGAACTTGCTCACCTGAGCAGATTTGTCTTGTTGCTGACGTTTCAAAGATCTTGGTCGGCTCACCAATTTCAAAGTGTCTGATGTAGAAAATCGACTAGGATTTTAAATGACTGACCAGGCTAGTTGGCCTTGGACCGATAGTTCTTCTCTTCTTTCGCTGTCCCTGCCCTCTGAAAAATGTCTGTGCATATCTAATTTGTTGGAAATGCTCTGTAATACTGTTAGTGTGGATGCCTTAAAGTGTGCCCATTTATTTTGAAGAAGTCGCTGCAATTGCAGGTTACGGGTTATGGTGGGGGTCTAGGTTATGGCCGGGATCACTTGCCCCGGGGGAAAATTGTGCTAAAAGAAAATAACTGGCGATATTTCTTTGTACGTTCCAGGGACAGAAATACAAAGACCTCGCGGTGGCTGTTACGTGAGGGTAGTCAAGACGCTTTAAGGTGGTTATTGGAGTAAGAATACGACAAGGCAATGCTTTTTTGATAATACCTGCAGATAGACAATAAATTAACTTACTATTATCATTAAATGATAAAAATAGTATTCTCTTTTCATTGATGGCAATATGGAGGATCAAAATTAGTGATATCGCAAAGTCCTTAAATGTTCAGCTCTTTTGTTCAGTACAAATGCTCTCCTGACTAAGTAATCCCGGCCATAAACCACACCTTTGCCGAAGTCCCTTGTGCCCTTATCAAATAGTCGATAAATACCGCGAGATACAGTACTTGCCTAGAGCAAGGGCTTTATTCGTCAGATTCGTATCCGCCTCTGACATCTGAATTCACAGTTGTTTCAGACATTCCCGCATTACACCTCGCCAGGTATCTCTCCACGCGTGACACATAGCTAAAAGAAAATAACAGTCCGTGAGGAGACCACCGATGGACCCTTTAAGGACTCGCTTTCGAGCTGACTGCCTCCTCGAGACTCGTGGCCGGACGGTCACCTTAACCATTTTGTAGTATCACTGCGTCCATGGAATGAACCATGGGGATCTTTTTCCGTTCTCCGCGTTCTAACCAGGATTGTATGTGGGCCTTTCCTATGCTTCGTTCTTCTACAGTCACCGGTATGTAACTGTGAGGTTTCCCGTGAATTTCCTCTGAAGATCGTTTGTTTCCAACAGTTCGGAGCACAGGCTGTAGCCCCTAACATCGACGACTCAGCGCATTTTCCTCACTATCAACAATCTGACACGCTTGAAGCTATCGTAGCGCGCTCAAAGTCGTAGCTTGGAAGGTTGTCAACTGATGGGGTAACTTGGACTTCGCAGTCGGCCTTATGTTGTGTGTTTATATGGAGCGGCGGACGGCTGGCCTAAGAGGCTGCAACTTCGCCTCATTGGATCCGAGCCAAGTGTGGCGGCACGCCTAGCGGCGGCTTCGGCCGCGCCAGTCCCTTTATGTAGCTGGTTAAAATCCTGGTCATTTGCTGTGTTGACCAGGGGTGTGGAGTGGGACGCCAAGGCGCGGGCTCGGTCGTACCATCCGCCTGCGCCCTCCCCCGCCTCCCGTTTTCTTGACTATGTGTTGACACGGGGTCCAGGTGGGGGAGGAAGAGAGAGTGCGATAGATGCAGCGTAAGTCTACACTCACTATAAACCAATTCACGCGCTGGTCACCGTGTCTGCTTCGTCTTTCTGTGGAGCGCACGATGGACATCGTCGGATGGGACTGTCGAACTGTCGTGTGCGGAATAGATTATCTGTCTGGGATACCGAGCCACCACCCTACGCCAAATTTCTTCAACATTTGGCCGACATGCTCGTACAGTCTACCGGGGCATGGGAGAGAGAAGATAGAATCCGGCCGATACTGGGGGATTCATCCTCACGGAAAATTAGCTAATTGATAACTTTACTAAACTTGATGCGCTTGAATTTGTCACGACAAGCCGAGGATTGGGGCTTGAAAAGCTTCAAATTGGCAGGATAGCGCGGCCTCCATGGAAGTACTTTGGACTGACTGGATAACCGAGAGTCTGCCGGCAATGCTATTTCTAAATATGGTCCTCTTGGCGATCTCGCGGATGTGAGACCCCAGCCGCTCTTACAAAAGCCAGCTACAGACAGCGAGTAGCATCTCGTGTGCAGCAGGCGTAGACGACTGTTTGACCTCGTCAGCCACCCCCGTTGGCTATGGCCTTGGTTACCATCGGAGGAAGACGGGTGGGATAGGAGATAGTGAGGTAGATACTTCGCAAGTCTGTGTCCACCATATAATAATTAACGCACAGGTCACCGGTCTTGCGCCCGCTCTGAGGAATATGAGCTGGGCGCCGTCGACTTCCACGTTCGAACTGTCATCATCGGTACAGTGACGGTTACATGGCGGATTTCAGCTCGATCGCCATCAGTTGAGACAGACTCCCCCCTGCGGAAATAGAATGACAACTTGAATGGACAACTGTGACTTCATTTGCTTTCCCATCCTTCGGGAATGGGCGAACCGCAGATATTAGCGTATTTGCTTCGGGGTTAACATGAGATCTTCTACAAGCTAATCTGATATCTGGAAAATTTCGAAGGTTCCGCCCAAAAGGTCCCAGTCGGTAAATGTCTCGTCATTTTGCAAATATAGCTATGCTTACATGAATGAAGGAGTCTGCCTTTCATAGGCGTTTAGTGATTTCATTTTGGTGTGTGAGGTCGACCACAATGTTCCCCTATCATCGGACAATCTGGCAATTTAATAGGATTTAGGAATTGACGAAAATATGGAAGAGAGATTGTCACTTTTTTAAAGAATCACATTTCACGGTCAACACATTTTTTTAAAATTTCCAAAATTCGAACGATTCTGGTGCACAGAATAAAAAGGATTAAGGACGTAAAATTGTTCATCAAGGATAAGAAACCATGTTTATTTCCACCACGTTAAGTTTCCACTTATTTGATAGGCCCATATTATTATCCTAACCAAAGGGTTATTTTTTCGTCACAGATTTTAATGTCAACCACGACCTCCGCTTAAGTCTGTTCAGTGTGTTGTTAGTTCTTTGTCATACTTCACTGCAGGCGTTGTTAGTAAAGTCACCAGCGGCGTCTTTAAAAATCACCATGATGACTCTTTTTTCTGACTTGGGTTTGTAGTGACCCCAGGGCTGTGCGGACGGGCACACGAATTTGTACAAATAGATGCAGCTGATTGGCCAATTGAATCACATCGACCCGTTTAAATTTTGAGCGGGAGACTACTATCGATAAATATCCTGCGCCTGTCAGTGACTTGGAGAGCTCCTCACGTGTGATGCCGACCCTCGAAGAGGCGGTAATTTTTCTCCTCCTGCTGCTGCTGTCCGCCCACCTGGAAGCAGTGAGACTGGTTGGTATTTTTGAACGCTCCGCCCCTGGACTGCGCTTCCTCCGTGGTTTCCCCCGTGGCATGTGGGGCACAGCACTAGCGCCAGAACTCGGCGCCTACGATGAGGATAAAGAAGATTCGGGTATGCTGGCTGGCCTTCGAGAGAAATTAATGCCTATCCTGTCTCCTCTTCCTCCTCCTTCCCTCTTTAGTCAGACTGTGGTTGCACGCCAAAAAGCTGTTTCTTCAGGACATCAATGGTTATGATGCCCAGTCAAACTTTGAACGTTTTCAAGAGCAATTGCCTTACTACCTGGTCTCGTGGTCGACTTATCAACAACAATCAGCACATTTTTTCGGTCCTTCGGAAGAAAATCTGCCCGTTTTGTATCTCATGTGGTGGTGCACAGAGGTGAGCAATCGCAAACCAGGGTTTCTCCTAGAAATTCCATCATCTAATTCTGCTATAAGTTGTCTGACGCAATTCAGTTCAACTCAAATATTGCGTTTTCAGGGAGATATGGCATTTAAATGTTGAAGGAGGCTTGGTACCCCCAAGCGCTAAGATATTTGAAGTAGGCAAATTTTTAGTCATTTTAACTGGAATCGGGTGTGGATTTATTGCAGTGATTGCTATTTAACTTAAAAACAAAGGATATATCACGCTTTTAAAGCAATACCTGTACAAAGTTGGTAATTCGGATATTATGAAAATAATCGGCAGATATTTCCGAAGCAAAAATTATTGGACCTATGCCATGGCTAATTTCTTTTATACCTTTCCTCCTATGATTCTGAAGACAAGATGTCCTCATTTTCTATCATTGTGCTTTCCTTGTTGTCAAAGCCAGATATTTGACTCCTTAGTCCGAAATTTTAAACAGGAATCTGCAAGTTAGACATATTGTTGTAGGTTATTCAGAGTTACTGGTTTTATGTTTTTGTGGCAGATTCATCGAGTAAATACAGCCCTAATTTTGCCGTGACGGCTTTTGATCTTTTGGGCAACAAAGTTTCCAGACATTAAAACATGTCGTGATGGGATATCTAATGAATGCCCACAAGAACTCTGGCTACGGGTGCTCAGACTGGTAGCTACAGTAATGTGCTAACCTATGAAATGTCAACCAAAATTTCGAAATGCATTCTCGTTTCGAAAAGATAAATTAAGTAGTGTTGTAAAACTAATCATGATGCAGCATAAATCTATAATGATCCAGTTACTTCAAAGTGTCGGTTTTCGAAAGGAATTATTTTCGGCTGCATGCTATATCTATACTCTGCAAATAATGACTACTTAACTAGCATGCAATTTTCTCATTGATTTTCGAGGTCCTTGAAAATTAAATTATATTTCATGGAAAACATGCATAAAAATATTCATTCTTTTACTTATTCGGTAGAAAATCACGTCTTCTTCCAATTTCATCCTCAAAAGAAGAGTATAATTCGGGTTTAAAAAACTTTTCTAACTCCCGAATAATTTTGAACCCGACCTGCTGTTACGCTTGCATTCAGGGTTTCAAAACTACAAACTGTATATTTTCCGTGTACGGAAAACCATGCATTTCTCTACGGTGTTAAGAGGACATCATATGAGGTTCATAAAATTAAGCAGTGGATTTGAGCAATATTGTTAACTTTATAAGCCACATTCGTAAATGCAGATACATGACGTTTCATGAACGGCCATTCAACGGTATTAAAAAATCTCACAATTAGAAACTTTTCTAAAACCGAATTATAGTCTTTTTGAGTAAGAAATTGGAAGAAGACGTGATTTTCTACCGAATAAGTAAAAGAATGAATATTTTCATTCATGTTTTCCATGACATATAATTGAATTTTCAAGGGCATCGAAAATCAATGAGAAAATTGCATTCTATTTAAGTAGTCATTTTTTGCCGAGTATAGATATAGCATGCAGCCGAGAATAAGTTCTTTCGAAAGCCGACACCCTGGGGCAACTGGATCATTATAGATTTATGCTGCATCATGATTAGTTTTAGAACAGTACTTATTTTATCTTTTCGAAACGAGAACGCATTTCGAAATTTCGGTTGACATTTCATGAGTTAGCACATCTACTGTACTTTTACGCCAAAATCTTTCGCATGTCGGAATGACTTTAGCAGTATTACGACGCCAAAACTATCCGGGCGAATGGCAGATATGTACCTCCCGGAGATTTAAAACAGTCGTGCGTGTGTTTTACTTTTTCGTCACAGGAGAATTTTAAATACAGGCATGGCCAGTTAAGGCTCCTTGGTAAGCTCATGTAGCTGAAGTCGCACCAGTTTAAAATAAGGAATATTCCTAAAGCAACTTATCCTCCGAGTTCAATAAGTAATAATCCAAATTGTAGTCCTGCTAACTTTAGGATTCAATGAAAAGTTCCTGAAATGTTGGCCGAAATTCTGAAATGTGTTTCCGACAATGGAGGATTGCTTAATTGAAGTTGTTCTGTAATAGCTAGATTACCTGACGGCTTAGCTTCGTGCAGATTAACGTCCTTGGAAGGCGATTGACATTGGGCGTCGACAGAGATGACTGCAGACATGTTCTCCGCTGAATCTTCGTTCATGAAGTTCGTATACACTCAAACACGCATATTCCAACAGGTAATATTAAAATCAACTTATCAACGACTGAAGGCCTATTAAAAAGAGGTCTGAAGAGGGGGATGAACCACAAGTTACTCAGCTGGAGGGAAACAGAGAAGAAAACCAGAAATAGAAGAGAAACCTTCCTCCTCTGGTTGAGGGCTCGGCCCGTGCAATTCTTCTGTTAGGGTTCCCGGCTTTTGCTCAGTCACTCTCGGTTCAAAGGAACCGGAATGTCGCTCAGGGAGACGTCAAGAAGAAATTAGAACAAACCTAATTAAAAATGCTTGTGTTTTACAGTAATATTGATTATTGTGCAGAATAAATCCAAGATATTTCAGTCATGCCGGAATGCCGGCTTTTTGATACACTTTTTCTGCCGCCCGCATAAAGCACACTCGATAAAGAATGACTACGTATGTAGTAAAAAGTCCTCCAAACTGATTTTTTATGTCCTTATAAGTTCAGATATATTTTATAGGAAGTACGCATAAGAATATTCTTTTTTGTACTCAATTGGTGGCAAATCCCGTCTTCTTGAAATTTTGTACTGGAGGAATGGGTATGTTTCGGCACTAAAAGTTTATAACTGGGGCTTTTTTAGACCATGCCATGTCCATTCGAATAACACTTTACCTGTCCTTTTATTTATGCTCCTCATGAAGTACACAACATGATACATATCCATCCAAACATTTTGTCAGCCAGGTTTCGAGCCTACGATACTGGCTTCCGTCAAGACCATGTCTTCCTTCCAGTCCTCTATGACCAGAGGATGGATTTGGTGCTGCCAACAGCACTCTGTGGTTACCAGTACGTCCGGATCCGGCAAAACTTTTTCATCGTCCACTGACTATACCGATGTTATAGACGTTCAACTAGGTGACTCCTTCGCATAAACATAGTCTTTCTTTGATTTCATAGTTGTTGTGTGCCGCAAATTTGGTCGACTGTATCGTCACATCCGCTTCACCGTCTGACCGGTATCGAGGAAGGAGGACTCGTGTAGAGCGTGCTCCTTCTCTCTATCTCTCTCTCTCTCCCCTGATAATGTTTAGTTTCTAGCGGCAAAGTCCAGCAGTATGTAGTGATCTCATCATCTATATTTAAGGTCAGAAATACCCTACTCCACGATTGTTAAGCGTGACCTTTACGCGTCGCTCAGTTAAGGGTGATCGAAGCGTTTGTCAATCACAGGCACAGACTAGGTCTGAACCGTGAAAATCGATCGCCGACCGGAGGTACCTTCTGTGAATTTTTCCTCTAAAGGCCACCGATTCGGTGGTTCGGTGGGTGTAGGGACTCACCTCCGAGATCACCTCTTCGAATCTGAATTGGTTTCCCGCTGACGCAGCGACTAAATGAAGCAATAAGCAAGTGCGGCACAGCTATTCCGGGAGAATATACTGGATCCGAATGTCTTCAGTGTTTACCAACAGAATTCCAGATGAACAATGAATCGTGGAGGCTTAACCGACAGTCGTAATGCATGGTTTGCAAGGTTTTGTAACACAGTGAACTCTGGATCCGAGTAAACTGGCCGATGCAAGTAGGAGCAGGTAAAGCACACTAGGTGGGCTAACTCATGCAATGTCAACCGAAATTCCGAAATGTGTTTTCGTTTCGAAAAGATTAATTAAGTAGGGTTGAGAAACTAGTCAGCCTGCAACATAATTCTATAATATTTCAGTTATCTCAGGATGCCGGCTTTCGAATGAACTTCATTCCGACTGCATGCAAAAACTACACTCTGCAAAAAACGACGACTAAGTATCAGGACTTTTTATCACTGTCTTTCGATACCCTTAACAATTTAATTATATTTCAGGGAAAACATGCATACAAATATTCATTCTTTTGCTCATTCGGTAGAAAAGTACGTCTTCTTGCGATCTTATACTTGAAGGAGGGGAACAATTCAGTTTTCCCGAATAATTTTGCAACCGCTCTATCGTCACACTTGGATTCGGGGTTCCCTAGCTACAAGCCGTATATTTTCAGCTTATGGAAAACCATACATTTCCTACGGTACTGAAGGGGAACCATATAGGGTTTATCAAATTTAATAGTGGATTTGATCCATATTGTTAACTTTACGAGTTACATTGGTAAATGCCGAGACATGATGACCATTTCACGGTATTTAAAAGTCCCACAATTAGAAACTTTTTAAAACAGAATTATGTCCCTCGTTGGAACATAAAATTTGAAGAAGACGTACTTTTCTACCGAATGAGCAAAATAATGAATATTTGTATGCATGTTTTCCCTGAAATATAATTGAATTGTTAAGGGTATCGAAAGTCAATGATAAAAAGTCCTGATACTTAGTAGTCGTTTTTTGCAGAGTGTAGTTTTTGCATGCAGTCGGAATGAAGTTCATTCAAAAGCCGGCATCCTGAGATAACTGAAATATCATAGAATTATGCTGCAGGCTGACTAGTTTCTCAACCCTACTTAATTAATCTTTTCGAAACGAAAACGCATTTCGGAATTTCGGTTGGCATTGCATGAGGTAGCCCACCAACTTTTGCACAGCAGGGCTGGAAACTGACTGACTGCGCTCTCCGGCTGCCTTTATAGCACGCAAACAATATTTGAAGAAGAAGAAGAAGAAGAAGAAGAAGAAGAAGAAGAAGAAGAAGAAGAAGAAGAAGAATCGAGCACCGGAACAATTCGTTTATTATCCTGAGCTTTCAGACTCGTACAGGAGTCCATCGTCAGAGGTATTGGCAGAAACAGGACAAGCGGCAGTTATAAGGCACGTAGACCCAATCATCGACCGACGTCGCACGACTGGAGGTGACTACGAAGGGCTCTGTACGCCGGCGCCAGATAGATAAATCGATTGACCGAGTTCTCATCCGAGGCCCAGGCTTCAATCAATTCTCGGCCTGTTTTGTTTCCGGCGTGGGCAACTATTTTGGTGGCTGCGAAGTCAAACTCGTGACCCATTTCGTAGGTGTGGGCGGCCACTTGTGATAATGCGTCGCCTCGCCGCACAGCCAGCTTATGTTCATGTATGCGCGATCCGAGCATGCGTCCAGTCTGTCCTGTGTAATTACAAGGACAATTTTGACACGGAATGCGATACACTACTCCAGATTGCTCTTCGGGTTTTAACCGGTCTTTGATCTTCATGACCCTGTTGCGCATGGTGGCTTTGGGGCGGTGTGCGATTCCAACCCCTAGCTCCGCAGCAATGCGCTCGGTCGCTTCTGAAACACCCTTGATGTATGGCAGAGAATGCCATATCGTCGGTGGCGTTGATGTTTGAGTTCTCTGGTGGCGACCGCGTAGGCAGCGACTTATGAATGCCCTCGGATAGCCATTTTGCACAAACTGGTCGCGGAGATAACGGGCCTCACGCGCTCTATCTTCCAGTTTGCTGCAATGAGTTTGGATCCGTTTGAAGAGTGTCTTCACACAGCTTCGTTTGTGAGCCACCGGATGGTTGCTGTGAAAACTGAGAAGCTGTGTGGTGTTCGTTGCCTTCGTATAAACCGTCGTTTCAAGTTCACCGTTAAGGTTTCGTCTGACGAGCACATCCAGGAAGGGCAACTGCTGCTCCTGTTCTTCTTCTCTCGTGAATTTTATATCCGGGAAGACTGCGTTGAGCAGGCTGTGAAAATGTTGCAGCATGTCCTTCTTTACGATGACGAACGTGTCGTCAACGTAACGTCGCCAAAACACCGGTTCATGTTGGAGGAAGGCAATCTTTTCCAACTCCTGTAGGACCAGTTCTGCCACCCAAACCGGAGACCGCAAACAATTTTCGGCAAATTTTACGATCGAGGTTTCTTAGCAAGCGGCAGCATCATCAAAATTCCTGATCCGATATACAATGTATGATGACAGACCGTTGCACATCAGTAGCATTTCGATCACTGGGGGGGGGCTCTCAAGTCCCATTTATTGAGTAGGTAACCTTGATATCTGCACATATAATTTTTGTTTCATACCTGCTCTCCAAAATTGGAGCAGTTAGAACGTCTAACCTTAAATTGAGCCTAGGCTCTCTGATGAAGGCATTACGCCATGGCGGGGTAGAGCCAGCCAGGTATGAAATGATCGAGTTGTCCGTTTAGCTAATATCTTTCGTTTCACAGAAGTTCGACGCCACAGGGAAGACGGTGGCGGGTACAAGGTGGCAGACAGTAGACGTACATGAAGACCAGCATTGTCGGCAGGGACAAAGAAAACTATAATGGTCATTTCCGGCCTATTAGCCGGCATCAGCCAGTCACACCCAATTCCGAGGTGTGCAGCACCTTAGACTCTATCCCGCGACCTGTCGGTTAGAAGTCCAACGCCCCTAAATACTGGGCCACGGTAATGTTATTCTAGTGCATTCCTCTGGTATTCTTAATCCTCTTGTCCTGTGAACGTAACGCTCACCCATCTTACCTGCATGAGGACGACAAATGGTACTACCTGCCAAGACTAGGGGGACTGGAATGGCCATTTCTGGCTTGTTAACCGTCATCAGTCAGCCGTACCCAAGCCTGACGTATGCAACCTCCGAGGCCCGAACTCGCGATCTGTTGGTGAGAAGTCCAACGCCCCAACCCCTGTGCCCCAGGGAGTCGGACATCTCGGAGTTGGGTGCGGCTGGCTGACGACGATTAATAAGCCAGAGAAGGTCATTCTAGTCTGCCTTGTCTTCGTCGGTAATGCTAGTCCGCCTATATTATACGCGCCGTTCTGCGGATACTGGTGGGACTCGAGAGAGAGCCCCAAGGCACAATGGGACGAGTGAATTCTGTAACGCGATTGGTGAGCACACCTCTATCATAGTAGACGCACATGCATGTACAGTATGTACGGTATCTTACTGCTTTTACCTGCTCAATTGTAAAGGGCAATGTACACTATAACACCAATTTTTAACTAAACTTGGAATGTTGTGAGGACATATCAAGTCTCCAAAATATGAGGGTAGGTATTTCTAGGTTTTTGCTGGTTGTCTGTTCAGAGTTCATGAATTTCCAAGATTCGTGAGGTCTAGGAATGTAATACCCGCCAACTTCGGGGTATCGCTGTATTTGCAACTTGCCAATGACAGATGCCTTGTCTTTTAGCTCAGATGCTGAGATATGGAAGTGCAGCGCTGTGGTATACGTGGAGTTAGGGGAATGTTGTGTCAGAAACGGAGTTCAGTCTCATCTAAAACCGGCTTGGCTTAGCCTTGAACCTGGAAAATTGTAGGAATTTGAATGAAATGAGGTCGATGCTACGTAATCCATTCTTCTCTCTATGACTTACCACTCGGGAATGCCTCCACATCCCACAGACTTTCCGAAACTGCGGTTACTAATGCGTTTAAACGAATGCAACGTTTATTGCCTAACTTGCAGAATTGGCCTCTCTTCTACAAGCTAATGAACAAGGGTCACCGTAATGCTTCCATCCTGAGATCAAAACTTCTGGAATACTGTCCGTCGCCCTGTTATGGTGCACCGTGTAAACGAATCTTTGGCGTCGGCATTCCAAGTAGTTGCGAAGTGATTGGACCGTTTGAGGTAGGCGCTAATAACCTGAATTTTTGTTTTGGTCTGATAATCCTACTATAAATTTTCTGACTTTGAAGACGACCACCTATCTCGGAGTCTCCTAAGCCGACCTTGTCCTTTTTTTCGGCAGGGGGATTTCAAGTGTAGGTGCCGTAGGGACATGGAGTGGGATCAAGATTCGAACAGCTGTAAGCCTCAAAATCCATGTTACCTGCCTTCGTACCCGGCCTGTTTGAAGGAAGGTACATTAGCTTGTGTTGCGTTGGACATGCAGACAGCTAAATGCATTTGTAATGAAGAGCACATGGGTCCCGACTGTTCACAACTTCGCAATGCCTGTATATCACGATTTGACCGCGTGAGTTTCTCTGTTCAAATGATCACAATAGTACCTACTTGCGATTTGTTAGTAGCTGTGTTGTTGTCTTTAATGTAGACGGCGTCAACTGGAAACAAAAATTGTGGAGTGGAGTTTGGAAATCGGTGCAACCCCATTCTCGGTACGGATTTCTACACATGCAGTTGTGCCGCCGGATGGATTTCGTCCCCATACTTGCCGTACGAAAATTGTGCTCTCGCTAATGACCCGTGCACTGGCTATATGGGTGACCAGGACGATTCAGGTGAAAAACCACAGCTGACTGTTGGAAAGGAATGCTTAAACGGAGGAACCTGCATCAGCTCGCCAGACCTCACTAAGGCTGTATGTGTATGCCCAACAACACCCTGGGGCAAGCAAACACACACTGGTGCGTTGCAATTACTGAAAGCTTGTGGATTTTCGTTGTGAAGCTTGCCCGTCACCGGTCATACTCTGCTGGTAAAAAGCAATTACGGATCGGAAATAATGCCAATTGACGCAAAATAAAAGCAATGTAACATAACTACGGACCAACCGATTAGGTAACTACGGTCAGGTTTCCGGTAACTAGAGGAAGTCTATATGGTTTAGACGGGCATCTTTATAGTCCTTCGCTCCCCACTCACTACAAGAAATCAGCTACGAAGACCTTCGGGTACACGGTTGGAATCTGCACGCCTTGTTATCAATGAATAGAAAGATTGAAGGGTAATATCGAGGAAACAGTGACTTACGCAAGCAGGTCACCTGGAATGCCTGACCGAGCAGTTTCAGAGGGTCTCTTGATTGTTCAGCATTAAATCACGTCCCTAAATTGTATCCGGCATGTACATGAGTGACTGATGTCATTAAATGTTGGCCTAAATTCTGAAATGCGTTTTCGATTAGGAAGGACTACCTAGGTGGGGTTGTAATATTGACTATCATGCGGCATACTCCCATAATGCTTCGGACTCACCAGGATGTCGGCTTATGAATGCACTTCTTTCTGACCGTTTGTTGAAATAGCACTCAATAAAATGACTACTTAAGTAGCATGCATTTTTTCACACAGATTCTCGACGGTCCTACTAATTTAAATGTATTTTTTTAGAAATAGTGCATAAACTATGCCTTCTTTTACTCGTTTGGTAGAAAAGCACATCACCTTTACTTTTAATACCCGAAAAGGAATATATGTAGGCTTTGAAAGGGGTTTCCAACTTCCGAATAATTTTGAGTCTGATTAGCCGTCGCATTGGTGTTTAGTGATTTCAGTCTGCAAGGTGCATGCTTTCCGCGTGAGCAAAATCATATATTCCTTATGTCCTGAAAAAGATACTATATAGAGTTCACAAAATTTTGCAATGGATGCGGACTATTTTGTACATTCCATGAGAAGCATTTGCAAATGGACAGGTACGCTGCTATATGAATGAACATTTCACTATCCTAAAAAACGCATAATTAGAAACTTTCTCAAAAGGCAATGTAAGTCCTCACCAAGCGAGTAAAAGAACGTATATTTTGCGCATGTTTTCCAAAAAATATATTCACATTTGTGAGACCATCGAAAATCTATGGGAAAAAATGCATGCTGCTTAAGTAGCCATTTTACCGAGTGCTATTCCCACAAAAGGTCAAAAAGAAGGGCATTCAAAAGCCGACATCCTGACAAGTCTGAAACGTAATAGGATTATGCCTCATGATAATCAGTATTACAGCCCCACCTAAGTAGTCTTTCCTAGCCGAAAACGCATTTAAAAATGTTGGCCAACATTTCATGAGATCAGTCACTCACTTTACCCAGTGCGTTCCATGATCCCCATAATGCAGAAGAAAATAGCAAAGGTAAAATGACCGAAGTCCCCGGTTCTGCTGGGTTCTGGAAATCACCAAAGGCAGTTTTGTGTCCCATTGCAACCATTGATTCTGTTGCTCCAGGATAAAGAATGCCCTGTCTTAATTTGTGTGTTGTAGTAAGCCTTGGCCAGAGCAATTGCACCCCATGCTGCGTTCATCAGTTTGAATGGATGACAGTGCTAGTAACGATGATGTTGTTTTTGAGTTGCAAAAATTTCCAATGAAGGATTCAGTGGACCATTTGGCGAGCATACATGCGCTTTCGATAAATTCTCGCCAGATCGGCACATTTATATGAGTACAAGTAAACACACGAGAGATATAAAAAATATAAGTACGGTTGGTCTTCTCATACAAGTGGGACGTGTGGGGAGACATAAGAGACAGTGAGCTAGGAGGCAGTGAGGGTGAGGGCGGGAAGGAGGAGGGCGCGGAGAAGTGCGTACAGTTAGCCAACCTTTGGCCAAGGTAGGCGCGAAGCTTGCACCGGGTTCTGCGTTCACAAGACCGGCTTTCGTAACCTGATGGCAGTAACCTCTACCGTTGACGGCAGACGTTGACCCAGTGGCCTAGGGTAGTTCAGTAGGACCTTTTAAATCGCACGGAAGGCTTCTTTTGGGGGTCCATGCAATGCCTGAAATTAGCAATGTGTGCCAGAATGGCGCCGTTTATGCTCTCAACTTCGTCTGTTCTCAACAGCTGCGTAAAGCCCAGGATATTAATTCTGATAAAGATCGGATTGATCAGACGCATGTGATACTGCGGAGGTAATGCACGCACCGATTCGTCCGCTTCCCATTCCTGGCTACCAACTGCGCTCTAGCCGCCTTCTTCCCTTCACCTTGCCAGTCAGGTAGGTCAGATTGAAAAGACGGCACCTCGTGCACTCTGAGATCCTTTTCAGCCGTTGGAACCAAGCAAATGTCAGTTATTCTCCAGGATTGGCGAGGTGGAATGTGCTAGTCATACTTGGGCATAATTATTTTTTAGTTTTTATGCTCTATTCAGAATGATATATG